ATTAAAAATGAGATCAATGTAAATTTCTGTGTTCCTAATTGCGACCACTTTTTTCTTAACTGGCTTAATTTTTGGTCGCAATTAGGAAGCTACGTGAACTTGTTCGAGAGGACGTAATCCATATTGCTTGAATTGATTCATTGTTTGTAATAACCAAGTCTTGGCATCACCTTTACCCGAATATTTAATAAATTGTGTATCAATAAGATTTTCCATCGTAGTTATTTCATTAATATCAGATAATGGATGATTCATTGATGAAGAGTTCGTTTGAGCTTTCTGACAATCCTGAATATGCCGTTTTAATCGATCACAAAAGCATAACCAGTCATTATTAATTTCAGTTTTCGACTGTTCATACCATAATCGTTGTTCATCATTAAAATATGTGGTTGCTTGAAATACGCGAAGTGATGATGGATATTCCAAATTTTCATATATATTATATAAAATAGATAACCATTGATCTATCTGAATCATTTCATCTTCAGTTAATTTATTAATAGATTGTAAAGCTATTTTTTCTTGCTCTCTCAACGATTGTAATATCGACTTACTAACCGATGAAGGCATACTATCTCCAGGTTTTTTCTCTTCAACTGATTCCAATGTTGATTGAGATGTTGGCATAGTTATTAATGAATTTTGTTGAGGTAATAAATGAATTCTTGACTGTTTACAAACAGAATGAGTATTACTACGTGTTCGGGAAGGAGAACAATATAATAAATCAGAAATGTGATATTCTTGTAAATATAAATGTGAACGAGTGTTATTATTCATCAAGAACACATTCCCAAAAGAAGGGCAGTTTCCTTAATTAATTAAGCATTCATTGACAGAGACAATTTTTAAGAAAGGATGTTTCCAAAATTATTTCAATTAAAATAAATAATAACTAACGTTGATTTGTACTTAAATAACCGCTGTCACCACTTGTTATGTTCTACTTTTATTATACTTGTTTTAAGGGCAAATCATGGGTTCGAATATGTAGAACATAAACGTTTGTTTATTTCTTAAACTTAAAGAATCACCACCAGTACATAAGATTTCATGCATATATATAGATAACATCAAAGAAAGAATAAAGAAAAAAAAGAGAAAAGAATAGAAAAGATGAACAATACATATATATAGATGTCAGGACATAACAGGCACCCATGGGTTCTCGGGGGCTATCCTATGGAGGTACCCAAAGGTCCTCAAGGGCCGTCCTATGGAGGCATCCCCTAGTCTCTCAAAGGCTATTGCATGGGGGTACCCATAGGCTCTGAAGGAAGTAAAGCAATAAGGAGATGATGCTACAAGAGCTACAAGGAGATATAAGGCTATAAGCCCGAAAGCTAATGATGTATAAAAATATGCGTCACATAAGAATATGAGACCGTAGGCTATCTATATATACAATGTGGAGTGTCTATATGGCTCTTACTGCGTGAAAGGTTAAAGTTTTGAGGTCATACGTTAAAGGAGAAAATAGCCGTGCAGCATCTACGAGCTCACGCTAGTAAAATATATGTGCTGAAGCATATAGTTTGAAATAAATAATATATTACATTGTTTTCTGTATTGTACATATATAGAAAAATAACAGAAATAAATATATGTTGAAGTGTATGGTAACAGATAAATAGAAAAAAAGATTAAGTTTTCATCGCATAATAGTCTTGGAAAAAAGTGGCAATCTGCATTTATTCCGTGCAAATATATTGTGAAGAAAAACCTTGTCTATTGAGTCTAAATTTCCTAGATATATCTGTGCTTTGATCAATCTATTATACAAAACATCTATTTGCGAAGTGAAAAATTATATTACTCGTTGAGTAATATTAAACATTCATCTATACAACATTCTTTCGCTTATCTATCTGTCTATCTATCTATCTATATAATGTTCAGTGTCTGTCTGTGTGTTCGTATGTGCCCAGTCAAAGGTTAAGGGTTACACTGCCAAATCGAATATAGTGAGCTTCTGGAAAGTTCTAGCAATATGTACTCTTCTATAATGCTCTAGAGTCTTCTAGACTCTTACAACCATCTTGAGCTTGCTGGAACGCTATAAAACATTCCGGATTTTGTAGTGAACTAACGTCCGGCGTGATCAAATGGTCAACTAAGGAGAGTATTCTCAAAGCCTCTAGGATAGGTTACACAGCATATTATTAAGAAGTGTTATCTATCTCTCTATATACATAGGGCAGTCAAAAAGTTCTGCAACTTCGCTATATCTATTCATAGAAACGACATTTCATCGATCTCTCTACACCATATAGTCCAGATAGTTATTGTGATTTTCCATGGAAAGTTTCATCCTTTTAGCTCACTCTTCAGGTATCCTTTTGAAGTAAAGAATAGATATTGGATTGACCTCCTTGGTTATTACCCCTGCTAACTTGTCATAGCTGGTGATTATTTAGTATACCTTGAGTATATTTCAACAATTAAGAATATGGAAGCTGAGACCTAAGTGAGTACGCTTAGCAATCCCTAACTTCATTCTACTCAACTCTGAAGTACATAATGGCGTCAGTTTATATGTTGCTCAAAAAACTATGATGGAAACTGATCGGATTAGAACATGACAATACTATTTTGTTCGATAACTTTTTTATTTGTAAATTTAAACATTTATCATTAATATAGAAATTAATACTAGCTACCATAGAGACCACTATATGATAAATAATGACCCGAATGTCATAAAAAAGTTGGCATATATGGTCGTTTTTGATATTGTTAGCAATAAATGTCGTTTACCGGACTAGTTTCTCTTGCTGGCTTGAGTTTCGATAGTGATTTTGATCCAATATTGCGATAGCACATCTAAGTCTGCTAGCTACTCATGGTATTACATAATCTCTGTTCACCACTTAGAAACTTCTCCAAACTTTTCAGGGCTTAAAAACTAGTGAAATTTCCTCAATAACGAAGGAGGTCAATTCATTATCTATTCTTTACTTCAAAAAGATATCACAAGAGTAAGTTAAAAGGATGAAACTTTCCATGGAATATCACAATAACTATCTCGAATATATGATGTAGAGAGATCGATGGAATATGGTTTCTATGAATAGATATAGCGAAGTTGCAGAACTTTTTGACTACCCTATGTATAACGTTCAGTGTGTGTTTGTGGAACTCTCTATGCCGAGACTAAAAGTCAAAGATCAAAGATCAGAGTATGGTTGGGCGTAGGGTGCAGTAGAGTGAGAGTGGATGTGCGTACGATTTGGCGTGTGGATGAGTGAAATTGCGGTTATGCTGCAGATTATGAAGTAACATCCATACCACGCCTAGGCCTAAAAGCCCTCCTCCAAACCTACAACTGCCCTCATGCACCTTCTCACCTAAATACTGGGGTGGAAATAGTGGACATAAGAGCTCTAACCACATCTTAGACAACTCCTCACCTTTGAAAAACCCTTGCTTTCGGTGATGAACACAAACGACCGCGCTGTATGCACGGATTTCTGCTGGTTATCTATATATTGTTTATAAGAAAAAAGAACTTGGTCGTCAGTTGTCTAATAAGAAAAAAAAGCATCTGGTAAAATACGATCAAATCAGAGCATGCAAGATCTGACTTACGTACTGCTTTATGTTTCTTTGTTTATGTATCTTATGCGATCTGACAAGAGTCATTCAGTCGGTTATTGTACGTTTCTTAATCTTGGAATCTTGTAAAATTTTCGCTTGAGTCGTACAATAAGGATCATACGAAATCTTGCAGAAAGTATTGATTATCGGATCATGAGTGATCTTTGCCTATGATCCTATGAAAAATCTTATATGCGTAAGATCTTATAAGATCTAACATGACCTGACGTCTGTTTTTTTTTGACTTGGGTTGACGATGTGTATATATTACATAAGTAGTTTGCATGCTTTTCTGATAATGCCATACATCATGTTTAGTTAATCAAGAGACGAGCGTTAAGTATCAGCATAATGAAATTAAGATTTTGATGACAACAAGTGTAAAAATGCTATCGACACAATAGTAAAAGCTCCGTATCGATGAGGATGAACGTGAAAGGTTTCAGGTCTTCCAACATTTTCTCAAAGTCAACTTGACATGCTTCAGATCTCCACAGCAATGAATAAAAAAAGTCAGCTTGAAAACTTTTGGACAATATCACAAGGTATCAACATGAAGTCGTAATGTTGCGCATTAAACAGGGAAGCGTAAGGAAGAGATCAGAGGTTTTAGTGTGGCATTTTTCTGTTAAGATGGCCATGATAAGTTTGAGATTGAAGGTATCGGTGGACGTTTGGATTGATCTTCTACTAAGTCGCTGCGACCGCTACATCCGGCTTGCTTGGAAAAAGCTTGTACTGATACTGACAAATAAAAAAGTTAGACTAGAAACATCCGCATATTCATAAATGTTAGACGAGATCATCGTGGAGAATGCAAGCCTTTTTCCTTGTACAAATTCGTTTTATTCCTACTCCATTCAAGAACACTTCTTCCAAAAGACGTGATCCGTGTCCTCTGGCAACGTCCCTCACTGGATCATTCCTTTTCTTTAGCGAATATCCATAACAAAGTGGGTTCGATCTTCATATTGAAGACAAAAACTTTTGAAGAGCTACAGTATCGTTGTTTCTAGATATCTAAATGACCACGGCTAGCCTACCTTCTATTGATTCACTTGCCAATGCCTATGATGAAAATCTTGAAATATTCAGTGTCATCTGGCTTGACAAAAATGTTCACTCTGAAGAGAATCAAGATAAACA